AACACTACAAAGTGGCTTAAAAGCTATTTTGGCTCAAAAGCACTTAAAATAAGCCAATCCAAACGGGCTCTAAAGGTTCCAAATCTCTTACCTGAACTGTTGAAGAAATTCTTGTAAATGAGGCAAGCTTTTTACCCTCCAGACTTGCCGCGACTGATTCACAAAGCTTTTCAGCAATTTCTTCGGCCTGTAAGACATGCATAACACCCGTCAACCAATTATATAATAAGAACTGCTGAGACAAATATGGTCACCAATCAAAGTATTTTGCTCTTTTCTTCTCTTTCTCCATCTTTTGGGAGGAGGAAAGAGACAGGAAGGGGACAGGGAAGAGCAAAGCAATTGGCAAACTTACCACATTCTTGGTCATTAGCCTGTCCTTAAGAGCTTTTAAAGCTGGTTCTAAGTCGGCCTTCTCCAAATTAGCCTTTCCTGCGATACTGGATAAACAACAGCAACACAGGTTATGTCCAACATTTCAACAGTCAAAAATAGAGATCCACTATCTTGAAAGAGAAACTGTATCTGTCAGTCTTTTCACATCATTCTTGAATATTTTTCAGCTTCTCATATAAAACCCGAACAAATTATAGTACTTCTTTAGTGTCCGCTAAGCAAATTAGACCAATTTCATAGTGATTACTGATTACGAATGGTGTGGGGACTCTATGATACAAATATCAGCCAGTCCGTCGACTAAATTTCCATAAAGATGAACTTTCCTCTTTTTTTCACAAACAAGAAGAAAATGATCAAGACTATATAATGAAGTTATCAACAAAAGAAAGATATAAGAATGCTGGTAAAACAACTTTTTCCCTTTTCTGAAATCAAGGGAGGATGAGAATTTTACCTCTGGAACATGGATGAGAACCAACCTTTCTTCTTTGCCTCGACCTTGCTGTCTTTCCCTGGCTCCTCATCCTCCTCGGTCTCACTATCACTACTCACAATCTCCTCTTTGTCCATCATACTCTCACCTTGAACTGCTGCTACAACTGCTATATTCTCATTCCCATTCTCACTCATAGGATCCGTGAAATCCAATTTTGACTCGGTAGGTGAATCATCCCAGACTCTATTCTTCTTTATCTTTTTTGTAGGTTCTGCCTTGGAACCCTTTACAACAGTATCGGTTGCCTTGGAACCCTTCACAACAGTATCGGTTTTCTTCCCACCTTTAGCCCTAAGCTTCTGTAGCTTATTTACATCGAAAGCTCCCGAATCGGAACTTCCATTCTCTTTACCGTTAGCCTGTACTACTGCATTTCCATTACTACCGTTAGAATGACCATTTTCCATGGCACGACTTTTTACTTTATCGCCATCACCACCATCACTTCCTGATTCAGAACCACTCTTTTTTTGATTACCTCCATTCATAATGCCCTTTTGCACTTGTCCTTGCTTCTTACCTAGATTATTGGTGGCAGGCTTGCCAACCTGCTTCGACTTCTTCATTTCCTCAGCACGCGCCTCAGCCTCCTTCCTAAGCTGCTGAAAAACATCGTCAAATTCATTGTAAACAGTCTTTTTGGGGTCATAAATCTCCGAGAATTCCCGCTTAACCATAGCAAGCAATTCATCCACATACAAAAGATGAAGAATTCGCTGATACACAGCAACAAACACAAGGCCCAGTTCATTGTGAAACGTCCATTTAAGAGTGTATGCAGCTCCTGGTGCATCATAATTATACGAAGCAGCACCTGAACGTTCCTCCAAAAGACATGAACGAATCAACGTGTCAATTGGAGAACCTCTGAGAGCATTTCCAAGCTCTTTACATGTCCAGAGGATCAAGCCCCCTCTAGTGAATATCAGTAACTGCTCTAACATCTTTGGATTCTAAATATACCCCTGCAAACAAAAGACGTAGTTTTAAGAAAAAAAGTCACTTCTCAGCTGGCAAATTAAACCCCTTAAAACAAATGAAAATAAAACTTGCATTGTCGATGAATGTAGCTGGAAAAGAGAACCAAAATCTAGGTCCTATAACAGATTCAATGAATGGAAAAGGAGGAACTTTTCTTCGCCTAAAAGAGGAAAGTGTAGCAATAAAGAACGAAAACGCTTACAACAACAACTACACCTCGATCCCAAACAAGTTGGGTCGGCTAAGAACAAAAAAGCTTAAAGAACATAACTTCGCAACAATAAAAGCGCTTTAAGATTTTCTAGACTTTGAAAGCTCACATATCAAAGGATTGGGAGAAGGGCTAAAAAAACACAAAATAGTAATCAGTCAACTACACCACAATCACAAACTTGTTGAGTCGGCTAAATGAACGGGAAGTGGCACATGGTTCTAAACTCGATGTATAATGGACCCGCCCTTCTACCCTTCTCCACTTAAAAGGCCGTTGCCTTGCGACAGGGTTCGAACCCTTGACATACGCCTAAACACACATCACAAGCTACACTCTTACCATTAGACCAAAGCCCTAGGGGCATATCTAATTTGCTCTATTCAGATCCACTTCTTTCTCAAACCAATAATAATTTATCTTTTAAAGTAAACCAAGGATTTCCTAAACCAAAATTTATAGATTAAGAAAAAGTACATATATTGAATTTAACGTCCTACTCATACACAAGAGAACTAAAAATCAGAACTTTGACTTAAAAGAGAAAAGCATCAGAATTTATGAACCCCCACAAATTCTCAAAGCAAATCAAGAAAAAGAAACCAATAAATCCACCAAATCTTTTCATAATTCAAGCAATCAAACTACAACCAAAAACTAAAAAAAAAAAAAATTAAAAAATCATTTCCTCAATAAAAAAAAAACCCAATTCAGATCGCACCACAAAAAACCCAAATCCAAGCACCTTTAAACAATAAAAAATATCCCAGATCGAAAACAACATAATAAATCCAGCTAACCCAAAAACTAGGGGGGGAAAGGCAAGGATTCGAAATAAATAAATAAATGATATCAGTAACTTTAATTAGAAGAAAGAGGATGTTAATTATTCATACCTATCAATTTGTGAAATCAGGAGGAAAAGGCAAAGGAATGAATTGAATGGGAGAAAAAACGAAAATGAAAAATTGAAGGCGAAGATGCTAATTTTGGAGTATTTATATGAAAAGACGTCAGCTTTGACTTTTTTTCCGTGTGAAGACCAAATTGTCCTCTAATATTATGAAATAGATGTGTAACTTCCTATTTGTAACGAATTTCATGTGCGAGAAGTGTAATAAAGTTTCATGGATTAAGAACAAATTACACATTTGGCGTGTCATTAAAAAATAATCACAAATATTAGCAAAAATATAAAATAATATATATATATATATATATATATATATATATATGTTATATATTAATATACAAAAAACATAGATATTGTCGACTATTATTTTTTAGAGAGGTTATAATGTGTGGTTTTTCCAACAAATAATGGACCTACGTAACACATATTTGGACTAGTCAGGTAAGTGAATTCTGATGCTGAATAATTAACAACTATAATAACTATTTTTACGTCTTAACTCTAAACAAGTAGGGGTCAATTATATAAATCAACACAGTTTAGATACTGAATAATTATACAAAAAAAGTTTTGTGGAAAGTATTTTGAAACTAGAACTTCAATGTATTTGAATAAGCACATTTGTATATTTTCCTTTTCAAGTTAAAATTTTAGATTTATTTTAATTCATGTAGGTGATGAATTTGATTTGGTTGTTACAAGAAATTTGAAAGATTTTGGTATGTAACTAATGTTTTTCCAAATTATATATATACGGGCTAATTATAGCTTTGTAAAATTCATTAAGTGTATTAAATTTTTTATCTATTTAACTTAAAAATTCAGATCTAGTTTCTTAAGTTTCTAAGTCAATTTTATTTTGTTACTATAATCCTCATCGCAAAGAAGATATTGCTTCCAATTTCAATATTTGGTTAGAAGTGCAAGTATTCACCGTAAAGAAATTCTTGATGCGTATAAATAGCTGTGTTATATCGTTTTTAATAACCTCGAAAACAGTTGATCAATAATCTTTATAAATGAAGGATAAGAAGGCGAAGGGAAGAAGATCCACATGCTCAAGACTAAGTGAGCCTGATCAAAATAGTTTTTGCGAGTTTGAAATGCGAGAAGAAGTTTCACGAGGAGACGAGGTAATCAAATTTGAAGCTTGGTTAAATTTATTGTTCTCAATGAATAACCGTTTAAGGCAATTGGAAAATGAGACTATACCTTCGCCACAAGCTCCTCATGAAAATGTGGATAATGCACCTAGTGTTTCTTAAATAAATCATTCCCAAAATAATAGTATCACTTATTAAAATACTAAGCAACAAAATTATTGATATATGCACACCTATAATTTTTGTTTCCTAGGGCTTTGATAAGTGATTTTATATGGGATTGATTCATTTCCGAAGCACTAGGTGCGTTATCTATATTTTCTCGAGGGGCTTGTGACGAAAATAAAATCTTATTCTCTAACTGCTTTAAACGATTATTCATTTGTGGAATAATAAATTTAATCAAGCTTCATATTTGATTACCTCGTCGGCATTAAATTGGTCAATGGATTCCCACCAATCTCTATGTTAGTCTCTTTCATTTGGTCAAATAAAATTGTTATTGTATGAGAAAAGAAAAAAGGCTTAGCAGTGGCTAAAGAGAGTATTATCATTATATTTATTTTTATATAAAACATTTATGGTATTAGAAAAAAGAATAACGTGTACAATGTTTATGTATTGACATGTAAATTACAGTCTTTTTTTTTTAATTTCTCCACTGTCGGGGCAAGTGCACATATAGCCATTTTCAGGTATGATATTTATAGATTAACCAGTACTTATTTTGTCTTGAAATTTTAAACAGAAAATCTTAACTTTAGGACAATTCAGCACACTTTTGTCCTAAAAAATTGAATTGAAAAACTTAAATTCAGAATGCACTGGTTAATTCCTAAATAACAACTCTTTAGAATGGTTACCTGATGTCATTTCTGCTATATTTGACAATAAATCTCAACAAGGAGCACTCAAAGTTATGATTCAACTCTTTAACAACTCTATTCATTGTGAAGGAAATTGAACGTTCAAACCAAAATCTTTGAATGCATAATCTTTACCCATAAATTACAACTTAATTAAACATGTATTCATAAGGTTGATGCAAATATACTAACGTCGTCTAGAGTACAAAATTGAAACTCAGTGACAGATGATTCTTCACGAGACAATGTCACTGCTTGAATCCTTCGCCGAGGCCTGCTGGCATTCCCAAGCTCTGTGCAAGATCGCTCATTCTTTCTTTCATTGCCTGAAACATAAGAGTCGTGTTAGCAAATAACAAATCTAAAGATAGAATAAGTTATAAGTTTGAGATGATGATTGAGGACTAGTGGAGTGGTGATCAGAGGCGGATCCAGAATTTGAACTTTATGAGTTCAGATTTGAAATTCTACCATATTTCATCTAATTTAAAATCTATTATTTATACATATCTAATGAGTTTTTTCTGACAGTTATACAGAAAGATATACAGGTCAGTTGAAACAATGGGTTTTGCCGTTCAGGTGAACCCATAGCTTCTTTTGTAGATATGCCACTGCTGGGAAGCGTCTCTACCTCCAACTGTTAACCCAAAGGTTCGTGTCATACAGAGTAGATAGAGAACCATTGTTGATTCCCTTTGGGTGGATAAAATGGGCAGTGCAGTGCACTAGGCACCGGCTTAGTGCGAGGTCTAAAACGGACTGGACCATATTGGGTCTTACGTATGCAGCCTTATGTTGCACAAAAGATACTCCCTACGTTTCATCTTACATGAAGGTGCTTGACAGACACGCAATTTAAGAAAGAAAATGTTTTGGATCTTGTGCCCTCAAACATGGCGATGACATTTTTGCGGCTATAAAATTTATGTCATGAAAAGTGAAATGAAAATTTAAAACTAATAGTTTCTAAATATAGATAGGAGTCATTCACTTTTGAAAACAAATTAAAAAGGAAGGACTGTCGCACAAAATGGAATGAGGGAGTAAAAGGAAGAAGTCTAAGGTTCTTACTAGTACACTTTTCTGATGTGCATCCTTGTATGCCTCTGTAATTAAAAGTGAGAGTTTCTGCACAAGAAAAAAGTTCAGACTCTCTTTAACATTTGGAACTGACATCCCACAAAAAAACATGCATTCATATATTGTTATATTCCACACGGCTCCTTGAAAGGGGAAAGCGACAATTATTGTGCATTCATGAATAATTTCATTTGCTCTGACAGAACAAGGGAGTATATAGCAAATGCCACTTGCATAGTTTGCTCGCTTCACGACCAAGTAGAAACATCTTGATTTCTCCGGAAAGAAAAATTGGTTTAGAAAAAATAGTATGTTAAAGGCCAAACATGAATAAATTAAGAGTACAAGGATCTCAATGGGCACAATAAGAGGAGTTAGCTCCTTGATACACTGCGTATAATGGTTGCTTGATGCATAGAGCAAAAGATGATTAATAATTCCAGATCCATCTGTAGAGCACCAAGTTTGTAACAGGTTTTGACAGGTCAAATAAACTAGCAGCACATAAACTCAGATGATCTACGCAATATATACTCACTTCTGGCCCCAGTTCCATGGCAGCCTCAGTAATTTCAGTACGTATAGGTTGCTGATTCCCAGACAGCGTTACCTGCAAATGGCGTAAATATTGACAAGTTTTAATAAAAATGTATCTAATACTTAAAATTCTCTAACATTTCCAAGTTATCTTGATTTGTCTAAATATGCCCTTTTAAATTCTATCCTGAGAGAGAGACATAGTGAAAGGGAGGAGAAGGGGGTCCGGGGAAATATAAGAGGTGCGGAAAGGACTCTCAAATGAAAGATCTAATCATTCTAGCTTGAACTTTTGGCAAAGAATGCTGGCCAAGACTGAGCATTCTATGTCTAAACCCAAAAAACAGACCCAACATTTTGGAGCAGTTGAATCAGTATTTCAGTTAGGTCAATTAGAAGTGATCTCTCGGTTAGATGACACCAAAATGAAACAAGAAAAGAACATACCTTGATTAGTTCACCTTCACAGTAACCATCAAATTCTGCTCTGAAAATACAAACCACCAAAGACAGAATAAGTAGAAAAATGATATACGGTATTCTCATAAAGCATGCTTATAAGAAGGTAAAAACATACTACAAACTGTACTATATAGAAACATACAAAGCGAGCTCTTTTTGTACTCGCACTGCCTCAACTTGAACCACATTTTGTGCCTTCTTCACCGTCTCGTATAAGTTTTGCATGTTTCCCAGAAGACCTGCCTAAGATCAAGATACACAAACTGAGGTTGGTCAAGCAAAATTATACAATACTTTTTACGAGTGAACAACAGGTGAAGCATAAGAAAGATAGAACTACAAGCATGCTTAGGCTGAGGAGCAGCAGCTTATACATTTGATAATGACTGCATTACTTATATAGCTGAACCAAAACATCAAACCCCATTTCCTAAGTGCCCTGTGAAGGTAAAACAATAAACAAATATGCCTCAAATTCATACAAGTTGGGTCCATTATATGAATCCTCAATATTCATTCCGTTCTATTAGGACTCAATAATTTGCCTTTTAGCAAAGTAATCACAACTAATGTGCCGAAGCTATAGCTAATTTAAATGTAACAACATGACTATGTGTTAATACCACTAGCTGGTACCTCATACATGGATATTAAGCGTCTACTATGTGTTCTTTTCAGCTAACTCAGTGTGACTTCAAGAGATTTTTAAAAAACTTGCATTTGCCATCCAGGTATTTTTAGAACCATGACACTTCCTATGGACGTGACACTTCTGTGACATACTAACCCATCAAGCATAGATAAAAAAGGTTAAATGAAAAAACATGTCAAATGAATAAGCATCTTCCCACGTCAAACACCTGAAAATCCAAAAAAAAAAAAAGATTATTCCTCTACTTTTTCGTTGATAACAAAGTTGAGTTTGATGTTTCATTAGATTGTCAACACTTGCACTCATGGTTATCCGAGGTTTGAGGCTAACGATCTTTAAAACTGAACAGAGACACTTCCTCTGATTTTCTGTCCATGAACAAACCTTAAGAATATGTTGGGGTATTTAAGTCTATTCAAGTCCTGAACAGACTTGAACGAAAATTTCAGCACCCAAGAAAGATATGGTCTTGGATGTCTGAACACCCCTCTGTATTTCATTTTGTTTGTAACCATTAACCAACCCCTTCGTGTTTCATAAATAGACGTTAATCAAGGCTCAGCAGCCAGTTCATTGTTAAAAAATTTCCTTGAGCCGGAGAACTATCGGAAACGGCCTCTCTACCCTCAAGGTAGGGGTAAGGTCTCCATACACACTACCCTCCCCATACCCCACTTGTGGTATTATACTGGGTTTGTTGTTGTTGTAGTTAGTTCATAGAAGGATCAACTATCGCCAACCCTAGGGGCCACTTCAAATCACGATAATTTGAACAAAGAGAAATGAATTCAAGGCTCTCCATCCACCTTTGTATCATGTAATCCATTACCCATTATCAAGGATAATAATGACGTGAACAAGAATTGAAATCATTCTTTCCCAAGGAATTTCTTAACTTGCTAAATATTTTTGAAATTAGAACTCCCAAACAATGCCACTAACAAAAGCTTGGTGTTTAAGCTGAGAGTAGAGGGGCGGGCCCATTATCCGCCGAGTTTCGAACCGTGCGCCATTGACCCTCCGGGGTATCATAAAAATACCAAAAAAAAGAAACAGGGAACTCCCAAACAACCATGTTTCTTGAATGAGCTTCTGTTTATTGTCAATGTTATTACCAATAAAAGGCCCATGAACTTGATTCTTTTAACTGCGGAGATAATATTAGCAAGCTACCAGAAGAAGATTTTGCAATGTGTTCTTTGCACGCATATATAACTTAAAATAATTTTTAACAAGTCAGTGAACAAGATAGATCCAATGTCAAATGTAAGCAACAAAATCCTCTACAATGAAGGGAATATGCTCAGATACCTTATTGTTCTCATTGTCGTCCTTTTTGCCTCCAAACAGAGCACGTATTTGCATAGGCCTGGGATTATCTGAAACCTTTCGACAGCCGGATCTTGACAAAGTCCACATGCCAACTTGATTCACATTAGGACTTGGATTGTCTGCAAAGACCAAAATTGTGAAATAACATACACTTCATTAGGTGCTTAATTTTCCCAGTGCTGAAACAACCTACAGAAAGCAAAAATTAACACCCAAACTGCGCAGAGCCAGAAGTCCACGTTCATCATCTTACGTCTTTTAACAGTAATAATCAATGAAGGATGAACGTCTTTTAACATTAATAATCAATCATTGAAAACCATTATTCCGAGACATGCTTGATCTTTTAGCCAAAGAAATGTCTAAATGAAAAGAAACTTTGACCAAATATTGACACTCATATAAGCCATTTCCCTCTAAATTCAGAAGTTTGAAACAATGTCTGGAACACAACATGATGATAAAGCATCAACCTTTTTGCTAAGCATGAGCGTTTCCTCTCGATAGTAAAGGCACATTGGTTCATGTAATAGGAAGGTTAATATATTTCGTAGCTTAAAACAAAAAGTACTCACCCTCAACTTATTTATTACTGAATCAAACCTTCATAAACATTATCACACATTTGAAGGAAATGAAAAACACATAATCTGCATACACAGTCAGATTCGGTGGCCGTTGCTGGAAAAATTGAAAAGATTAATAGGAGTTTCCCATTGTTATTTAAGGTTTACTAAGATTTATCTTTATCTGCAAATAGCCATGGAAAGATAGAATGTCAGGACAAAGGCGGCTACAGAATTTTTCAGCCAGTGGGTATAGGGTGCCACCACACTACTACTCCTTTGTGGCAATGGTCGCAAGCTTACACAAACATATTTTTTTCAAAATCGTTACTATAAGAGTGTGTGCGTGTGTTCGTAGAAAGGAGAGAAGGTTGGCATCTCCACTGACTGGGACAGGAACAACCTTCGGGGGCTTTACCTGTTATCTGAGCGCGTGTCTGTGTACTTTGAGTTGGAAGGGCACATCCACATTAAGGAACTTCCACAAGTTGGAAAATTTTGTAGTTACCAGAAAATTGCTAGCTTTACATCAAGAAAGCTAATAGCTTCTAGTTACTGGCTCTCTTTATCTTATTAGGGCCTTCTATAAACTATAAACATAACATAAGCCATAACGGCATCTCTTACTGTAAATGACTAACAATTACATGCCATCAAAAATGGATAGGATTTTCCTATTGTTATTAGAGGTTAAAATATATCTTCGTCTGCATATGGGACATCAAAAGAAAAATGTCAGGACGAAGGCGGATACAGGATTTTTAAGTCAGTGGGTATAAAGTGCCACCATACAACTACTCCTTTGTGGCAATGGCCGCTATATTTCAATACTGCTCATGTGTGTAAGTGCGCGTGCGCGCATTTCAGCAGGAAGGGCACATCCGCGTTGAAAGACTTTCAAAGGTTGGAAAATTTTGTGATTACCATCAAAATTGGCCTCTTTCAACAAAGAAAGTTGCTACCTTTACATCAAGAAAGCTAATAGCTTCTACCTACTAGCTCTCTCTATCTTTTCTAGGGCCTTATGTAAATATCAACACAAACTCCTTAGCAACAAAGAACTACTAGTACCTTCATTTCATTTTATGTTAACTTGTTCGACTGGGCACGAGTTTAAGAAAGAAAGACTTTTGGCGCTTGTGGACTTAAACATGTCATGATATTTGTGCAGCTACAAATTCATGTTATTTAATGGTAAAATTGGATGTTTATAGTTAATGAAACAGACTAAAAAGGAAACAATGTCATGCCAACATAGGCATCTCATTTTGTAAATTACTTACACTTCATACATCATCACTAACCAAAGTAAAATAAATTGGATGTACTAATTAAATTGCCAGTTTGTTCTGCAAAGAATTACTACCACCTTGTATGTCAACAAATCAACAACAACCCAGTAATATCCCACGTGTGGGGTCAGCGGAGGGTAGTGTGTAGGCAGACCTTACGCCTACCGGGTAGAGAGGTTGTTTCCGAATTACCAATCAGCTACATGAATCCTCTATGTTCATTCCAATAATAACAAATTAACAATCAGCTACATGAATCCTCTATGTTCATTCCAATAATAAATAATTTGTCTTTTATAGCAAACTAATAGTTCTCTAAATAAAAAATTAACTAAAATTTAATTAGAATAAAATAACTTATAGGAAAAAAAAGAGAGCTTACAGAAGGATACTGAGGAAAAGTTATGGAGGTTTGAAATCCCAGCCGAGAGAGCACTTGTTGACGCCATTTTTCACAAAAAAAAATTGAAGGGAAATATGTAGTTTCAGAGAAGATTGAATGATCTTTTGAATTATCGATATTGCATCAGTTTATTCTGAAAAAAATATCTATATGCATCTTTACGAGGTTGCAGTTTGGACTTCTGGATAAACGTTAGTTTGCCCCCTCAGGTTTTGAAAGTATTAGTATGATCCCGAATATTTTAATAACTTATACTATCACCCTTCTAATAAGAGTTTAGTAACTTTTATTTATTGAAATAACCTTTAAAAAGTTTTAGAAAGAATTTTTGGTGAAGAAAACTATTTCTGATTGATATATATAAAATTAGAAAAATCCTCTATTTATTGAGTAATAACTTTTTTATTGATAAAAGAATAAATATTATTTCTATTCCAAGGTGGAGAGTTTTATTTTTTCCATCGACCTATTTGCATAGTTCATTTACAGCTTGTTTGGATGGTCGTTACCTGTTGTATCGTATCGTATTGTTACTTTAAATACGACGTTTGTTTTGTTACTCAAAATTTATTGTATCGTATCGTTAATTCTGTCGTTACGCAACGACGAAATGTGCCACTTTATGTAACGACCGATTTGGTGTGGTCGCGTCGTTATCTTGTTCTTTTCTCTCAATCTCACCCTTGATTATTGTTAAATAATTTTATTTTATCATTTATCCTATTATATAGTAGTAATTTTAACCTGTATCATAATTTTTCTTTATAATATTATAGGTTTATTCTTCATATTGCTGGTGCCTGATATCATGAAATGACGATAAACGACACAATCTATCCAAACATTATATTCATCAAATAATACGGTACAATACAATACAATAAGATACGATACGATACAATATAAAACGATACGTAACAACCATCCAAGCAAGTTGTAAAAAATAAAAAAATTATTTCTATATCTATAGAAGAATGTATAAAAAAATTCTTAGTGAAAGTTAATAACTCATTGAAATTTTCAAGTAAAAATGGAAAAAAAGAAGAGGAAGAACAATAAGAAAGAAGGATAAGAAGAAAAAGTTGCATGCTTTTATTCACATGTTCAACTAGGAGTAGCAAACGGGCGGGTCGGGTCGGATATGGTTTGGGTCGAAAACGGATAATAAAAAAACGGATTAATTATCCGACCCGACCATATTTAATACGAATAAAAAACGGGTTAACCGGCGGATAATATGGGTTACCCATATTATCCATGATTTCTTGTATATGATCACTTTTGGGAGAATTCTTAGTCTCCCTAACTTGAGGAACCCCCAATTTGAGGCTTTACAAATGTAAAAGTTAGACCCATTGGTTATCCATTGGTTACTCATTGGTTATCCATTTTCTAAATGGATAATATGGTTCTTATCCATATTTGACCCATTTTTAAAAAGTTCATTATCCAACCCATTTTTAGTGAATAATATGGGTGGTTAACCGTTTTCGTTGAACCATTTTGCCACCTCTATGTTCAGCCAATATTTATTTATAATCGATGTTTATATTAAAGTAAGAAATACATGATATATACTTTTTTCCAAAATAAATTTTCTAAAACTTTCTTTTCATTCCATATTCGTAGTTAATCTTTTTATTTACAAAGAAACATTTTAATTTATAATCTTTTGTAAAGTATTTAAGGATATTTTAGTCATTTTAATAAAAGAACAACTTATCAATAATTTTCTACCAAACATTTCAACTGCTTATTATCAGTTTCAGCATGTCCATCCAAAACACGTAAATGCTTATTTAAAAAACCAGTTTCAGCGCTTAAAAATACTTTTCAGCACTTCAAGCTTATCAACTATTTACAATGAGCTTATTTACAATCAGTTGATCCAAACAGGCTCCAACTTGATTTTCACCTTTCCTCTTTCCTTTCATTCTCTCACACATACTCTCACACGGCAATGAATACAACCAATTTTTGCACCTTCTCTGCCCACATGTATATATAAAGAAAAAATAACAATAAGGAGTAAGGAAGATAATGGTCAGTACCATCAAAGAATGTGGTGTAGTGGATGAGATTGCTACTCTTTTAATCAGAGGTTTCGAGTTCGAGCTCCAGGTGCGAAAAATTCTTGGTAGGGAGCGCTTCCTCCGAAAAGAGCCCTACGCAGCACAAATCCAAATATATCGAGCTCTAATGCGGGTACCGAACGCCATGTGGGAACAAAAAAAAAGATAATTGTAAGTGACAAACAGAATTATTGAAGAAGGCAACCAAACTTCAGTAATCTCAAGGTGAAATCAAGAATTTAACTTTTCTGCATTCAACTTTCAAACACAGATGGGATCTAGCAAAATAATTGCTCTCTCTTGGCCTAGCATTGATTTTGAGAGCTGAAACTGGTGGAGTTGGAATGGCGTCACACAATAACAAAAGTTAGGTATATAATAGACTCTTCCCCCACTCAGCATTTGTTCTTTTTTTACCTAATCATTTAGTTTCAAAAATTTACTTGTCCCATTAATTCGAGTTCGCGCCTTAAAAAACAATTATAGTAGTACTAGGTTTTCGTGTTCTTGCCAAAAAAATTTATTTTGTCGAACTAGAAATTCTAGTTAAAGGTGAATAAATATTTACTATTTCGCCACACCTCTTGATGGTTAGCATCCGAGCGGAAGCTAAAGCCACTAGATGATTTCTTTTGCCAAAACTTTGATGAACAAAATTATCATGTACTTGTGATATATTCAGTATAATAATTGAGATACATGCAAATTGATACGAACATCACCGTAAAAACAAAAAAAAAAATTTTGATGAACAAAATTATCATGTACTTGTGATATATTCAGTATGATAATTGAGATACATGCAAATTGATACGAACATCACCGTAAAAACAAAAAAAAAACAACTTTGCTTATAGTAAGGCCAATCAATAATCAAGGACAATGACTAGATGGGGCACATAAAAACTACAAAATTTAATGGATCATCACAAGCATGGTTTCCAACTTTTTTCAATGGCTGGTGCTAATAATTGACGAATCTTGAAACCTGAAAGAATTTAAAATAAATGTTGAAGAGGACCCTAAAAAATTAAGGTCAAAATAGTACTTTCACATAAGGAGGTCTCAATATAATAATGTGAAAAAACCCCATCACCATCAAAACAGCATCCCCTAAGCCTAAAAACAAGGCACTACCAACAAACTGCAAAATTTCTCTTTCTCTCTCTCTCTATGCTTTTTCAGAAAAAAAATTTCATGGCTAACACACACACACACAGTCCCTCTCTCTCTAGAAAAATACCATCTTTCTCTCTCTAAAAAACCATATCATTGAGTCATGACACTTATCCTTTTCCTTCTTTTTTCTGTGCCTATGTCTGCTATAAGTTTTATAGTAACTATATACTATATTAGTACTATGTCTGTATTAAATATATTTATCTTTTTCACTGTTCCTATCTTCAGCAGAGGTCACAACTCACAATGCAAAGAATCATCAGCCCACAAACAAAGGAAGATGAGAGAAGAAAAACACACACACACACACACCAAAAATCAACTCAAAAATCAACTCTTTTTTCTTCTCTGTAATGGCCCAGCTGGACCAAAATTTATATAACCAAAGAGGAGAAGTATTCATATGTCTTGTTAACTAAAAACCCACCTCATATACACACCATTTAACCATAAAGACACAATCTTTCCATAAATACCCTTCTGCAACACCCCTAAAAAGATCCAATCTTTCATCACTGTCTCTAAAAAAACAAAAACAGCAATGTATTACTACTACTATATTTTTCTTCTCCATTTATGTGGGCTTTTTGGGGTTTGTCTTTCTTTGTCAAGAACCTTCTTACCACCTCTCTCTTTTCCTTTCTTTCCTTATTTACAACTCCTTTTCTTTGTTGTATTATTATTGTTTTCTCACTTACACGCCTCTCTTTCCTCTCTTTTTTCTCTCTTCTGCCGCCTTGACTCTTCTTCATATTTTCCAAGATCTGATTTTTTTTGTGATCTGATGTCTAAGAAGATGAAAAGGGTGTCTTTAGAATCATCATCTTATGGTGTTTTTGAAGATTCAAAGTCTAGGTTGAAGCGTCAGATACTATTTCAGGACTATCAGGAGCTCCACAAGGTAAAAAAAAAACTTATCTTTTGGGGTTTGTTTGATCCTTTTGTTTGAAGATCGATTCTTTTTTATTAGTGTATTTTTTGGTGTCTTTGAATAATCTGTTGATTTTTCTATTTTGGAGTTTTTTTTGGTTCTCTTTATCTTTTCTTTAGCCCTTTTCTTTAGCCGAGAGTCTATCGGAAACCGTCTTTCTGCCCTGTCCTCCCCGGAGTTCACTTCGGACCTCACTTGTAGGAACTCACTTGATTTGTTATTGTTGGAGTTTTTTTGGTTCTTGTTTGTTAAAAATTTGATGACTTTTGGTTGGTGTTTGATAGTTTCCTATCAATGATTTATAAGAAGCTTGTTATTTGCTGTCTCTTTGTTCATTATTTTGGATGAAAGTTACCCTTTTAGTTCTCCCTTATTGAGGCTTTTACCATGATTTAGTGTCTCCATTGGTTAAATCTATTTGTGTTTTTGTCCTCGAGAATTATTAGGAATTCTCTTTAGAACAAGTTTTAGCTTCTTTTTGTAATCAGAAATTCCGATGTCCACAAGGTCCTGTGGCACACGGTTTGAAACTGGATAGATGAGGGCCGTCACCACTTAAGTACGAGCTTTTGTCTATGGTAGGATTCAAACCCACGCGCGCACAACTTACACACGCCCCTTAAATACGAGTTTTTGTCTATGGTAGGATTCAAACCCGTGATGTGCATCTAACTCGCACATCACACTACTAGACCAAATCGCTCGGGGAAACATTTCTCTATGGTAGGATTAGGACCCTTGATGTGCGCCTTACTCGCACACCCGCTTAAATACAAGCTATTGTGTATGGTGGGGTTCGAATCATTAACATGCGTCTAACCCACACATCACGCACTGCAGTGTTACCACTAGAGTAAATGCCTTGGGGCAACAATTCTTAGCTTGTTTCCATCATAGTCATGCTATACTTTGAACTGCAAGATGATAGAAAGCTGTTGTTTTAGATTTTGGAATCGAGTAAAATAAAAGTAATGTGTATTTGTGATTAATCAGTTTGCTTACATGTAACCTATACAGGAAACTGATGGCACGAGGCACAAATTGGAGGATTCAAAACTGAGGAAACTAAGATTACTAGCTGAAGTTCGGTAGGTTTTGTTTTAACTTCATAAAAAAGGTTTTCATATTTACTTGATATAGTTTCATTTAATTTAAGTATAGAATTTTCTTGAATTCAGTATTTTGGCCTTAGTCTTCGAAACTATATTATCTTGGATAATATAATTAAGGAAAAAGAATTCTGCTGGTAATTATGTTAAGAGTTATTATCTTCAGCATCTTAGTATTCATTCAATTTATAATGTATATGCTGATTCCTATTTTTTTTTTTTTCAAAATGCTTGAGTTTCTTTTCTAGTATTTGAATCTAAGTGCAGTTTTTTCCCGCATAATTGTGCAGTTTCTTACGCCAGAGGCGCGCATATCTATTGCAGTTGAAGTCCTTAAGTCGTCCACAAGGGCAACAGCTAGTACCAATGCCAAATCCAGAAACATACGACAAAAACAGGTCGAAGGATAAAGTCTACAGCAAAAAGAAGGCCAAGCTAAACAAACTGACCCCACTTCCTGGCCCAAAACAGAACGGAAGGATACAGGTCGCTTCCAAGAAGACACCTGATATTCACGTGAGGCAAAAGCACAAATTAGGTGGTGGAAAAGATGATGTTTTGCACAATGCAGTTTTTGGGTTGAACCGTGAAGCAAGAGTATATAGTGAAAAGGAAGTTTCATCCGGGAAAGGAGCTCCAGCCTATGATTTGAAGCAGAACGAGAGATTTTACATTGCGAACAATGCTGACTTACGAAGGGGCAGCAAGCCTGCTTTTGATTTAAATAATGACACTGGTCATAGTGGCAAAGAAGCTGCTTTGCCTACTCGTGCACCAGTCTTCGACTTGAATGAAATCTCGGTAAGTATCAAAACAAGCATCTAGTACACTTGTCATTTATTTTGTGAGTGATACGTTGTACATCATTTACCTCTAGACTTTCTAATTTTTACAGATGGGGGAAGAGGAAACACAAGCGAACTTTGAGCAGGTGCAGTTCGAGGAGCCAAAGAGAAGTCATATCCGAAACCAGAATGATGATCAGCACAATGATTTGAAGTTATTGGTTTGCAGAAATGTTGGAGAAGGCACTTCTCAGGTGGGAAAGCGAAAATTATCATGGCAAGACCCTGTTGCTTTGAGGGTTTGACCCATCTTCCACTATTCAGTTAAATGTGGTAAGAAAAGTTTGAGCGAGCGCTGAGCAGTTATTGAACCTGAACTGGCCTTACTAGGTCAATTGTTCTGTTGACATGTAGGCTTATGCTTTTCCTTTTTGTGTATAGGAAGTTCTTATACATGTAATATGTGCACACACTATATGTTGATCGCGAGCAACGAGATATAGTCAGTATAATTCGTTCTCTACATAAAATAGCGTATGTTGTTCAGAAGTTTTCTGTACAAGCAAGGGATTTGGTCTTCTCTGTTTGTTGGATTCCACATTGATGACATGGGAACTCAACTTAGGTGTTCTTTGTTATTCTTTCTCTTCTGCTACCTGGAATAGTTTACTAAGTTCTTTTTGGATTCTCATCACCGTCGAGACGAGTTCTTCTAACAGGTTTCTTGAGATTAGTTCTGATACCACCTGGTGCAGGAAAAGAAGAATGGGATATGAGGTAGATGAATTTGAGTGCCTAAGATGGTAGTAAAGGGCAACCCGGTGCAGTAAGCTCCTGCTGTGCGCGGGGTCCAGGTACGGGCCGAACCACAAGGGTCTATTATACGCAACCTTACCCTACATTTATGCAAGAGGTTGTTTCCACTGCTCGAACTCGTGACCTCCTGGTCATATGGCAGCAACTTTACTAGTTATGCCTGCTCATCACCATCGAGACGAGTTCTTCAAATAGGTTGCTTGAGATTAGTTCAAATGGTTTGAGATGGTGTTTGAAAGGACAATAACTTATGAGAATGGTCCTTGTGATTAACATTATTCTGTGATTGGAGTCCAATGATGTATTTTCAGCTTGTTATGATCAAGATGTATGTTTGAAAGATTTAAGAACTTGGCTCTTACCTTGTAGATTGGATAACTAAGTGGCGCTCAAGAGTGTTGTGGCCCAATGGTCAATTAAATAGGAGGAAAACCATGAAGTTTCAGGATCATATCTAGGTGCGCGCAAGCTGGTTTCGGGACCAGTCATTAGATAAAATAGATTGGATATATACATGTTCTTTTTCCTTTTTTTTTACATTTCTTATTTTATGTTTGCTTTATCAACATCTCAAAGTTTAATGCTGCATTCTTTTTCCATTTTTACACGGAAAAGGCAATTGAAAAACATGCATTATTACAAAGGCATAAGGAGTAACCTTAGACATTTGCAACTACATGATCGATTCAGAAACATCAACAGCAACCCAGTATAATCCCACAAGTGGGGTCTGAGAAGAATAGTGTGTACGCAGATCTTACTCTGACCCTGCAGTAGAGAGGTTGTTTTCGAAAGACCATCGGTTCAATAAGATGAAAAGAAAAATCAATTCATCAGAAAGAATTCGGAAAAACTGACAACTTAACCTCCTCCCCCCCTNNNNCACACACACACACACACACACACACACACACACACACACACACACACACACACTACTACTACTACTACTACTACACTACTACTACGTACTACTACGACTACTACGTACTACGTACTAACTAACTAACAACTAACAACGAACCGAACGTAACCGTAACTAACTAACCGTACGTACGTACGGTACGGTAGGTAGTAAGGTAAGTAAGTAGTTAGGTTACGTACGTACGTACGTACTTACTTCCGTTACTCCGTACCGTACCGTAGTAGTAGGTTAGGTTAGGTTAGTTTACGTTAACGTAACGTACGTACGTTACGTAATAAAGTAAGTAAAGTAAAAGTAAAAATAAACTACTACTACTATAACAAAGTAAAGTAAACGTAACGTAAACTAACTAACCTAACCTTACCCCTCCCCTACCCCACCCCCAACCCCCCAAAAACCCCCCAAAAAAAAAAAAAAAAAACTAACTACACATATCTAATCCAACCACACACAACTCAAGGCTGAAATTTTCAAAAGTCATACAAGTACTTCTCAAAAAGTGGCATATGGTCAGCATCTAAACACACAGCCAACTTCAAGTTCTTGTCATTACTTGGACTTGGCAATATGTAAACTGTCCCTTCATACAAAATACATGCAGGTCCCATATGAATTGGTTTTCCCCATCCAAAATCTGAATCATGAACAGGCAACCTAGTCCAACTGTTAATATTAAGATTAGGACTAGCAAAATACGTCGGTCCTCGGATTAATTTAGATAAATCTGTCTGTAATTCGAGATAATCTATCGCTGATCTTAAGTATTCGTCGTCCATTCTTGCTAACACCTTATGAATTCTTTGTGCAGTGTTCATCAATGGCTCTGATAAAATTACACCAGATTTGGCAATTGGTGTAGCTGTGAAAACAACATTTCCTAAGTAGCCTGGTGGTAAAGGAGGAAAAAGTCTTGACCTACCATCTGTAGCAACATGTAACTTTGTCAATTGGTCATCATCTAGGCCACGTGCTTTGCACGTGCAACGCCAAATATGGGCCGCGAGTACTTCATAAGTACTACCCTCGTGCTCGGACTTGGTCTTGAGTAGGGTCAGTTGGTCACTTGTGATCTTAAACATGGCCGTGGTGCTGGATTTTGGACAACTAACTTTATCATGAACGTTTTTTGACGATGATTTTAGGGTCGGAGGAGGATGATATTCCACGTGTTTATAAGCTGGTGTCGGTGGGTCCCGTGCACGGAGGAGGGACCGGTCGATGAACGGCGAGACGGTGACGGAGAGGCCTCGGGCAACTTCCGACCATGTGTTGATGAAGTGAAGGGATGAATTGCCGTCAGATAATGTATGGAAAATGCCACACCCTAAGGAGACTCCACCACACTTGAATCGAGTTACCTAAAAAAAATAACCAAAGTAAATTAACAATTGTCCCTAAGGGGAGAACACAATGACCAGAAATTAAAGTCACAACTCAAACGTACATTGCGAGTTCGAATCATTCAATTATCACCTGAGAATATGATGATATGATTGTAATATATTTTAACCAGAGGTCTCGCGTTAGAGCTCTAAAAATAAAAAATATTTTGATAGAGTGTTTTACCTCTATTACTTTCGGATAAAAATTGTAAAGCTGCTTTTGTAAATTTTCAAGTAAACGCCAAATTAGTGATTCTTTTTCTTGAGGTCTGTTTAATTATTTTTTCATTGAAAATGAAATGAATAATATTGACAAGATGACGAGTACAAATAACAACCACTCTAGAACTAGGGAATGCCAAAAAGACACGTACTAGAAAACTAGAAGTATCGATCGAACAACAGAATTTAATTATTTCATTCAACAGAATTTAATTATTCTCTATTTCATTTTACAACTCAAAAAAGGCATGTAATATAGAATATAGAGTACCTGAAATATGACAAGTGGAAAAGAAGAGATGTCACCAGAAGTATCAACATTAGGAATTAACATCTTCTTTATTTCCAAACTTGGAATAAAATCACCAAAATCATCAATAAAATCATCAATTTCAGCTTCAATAAAAAGAACTCCTTCTCCATTACAATTTATCTCAATTCTTTCTTTTTCATTATCCTTAGCCAATCTCCCAGCCATTGGATAAAATGAAACTAAAACATTGCTTAAAGCCTCCTTCATAATTCTAAAATCAAAGAAATTTGGAGAAATTCCATTTGATTTGTAGAAATATACTGTCAAAAGATGAATTCTTCCCACTATTAAATCCAAATTTGAGTTCCATAGCCTTTTTGTAGGAGTTGGCTTTGATGGTTTCACCATTGTTGATTCCTTAATATTGATCTTCATCTTAAAATTTGATGAATAGAAAGAAAAGAGACCAGAAAGATAGACGAACGACCAGACTACAGTACAGGTCGAATATTTCTACGAGCAGTCAGCAAATTTTCCCTTATTTTGGAAAAGCGGGCGGCCACGTGTGAATTTTTTCTAAGGCAAAGAGAAAAGTGTTAGACACCTCTTTACAAAAGAGAGATGAGGATGAATCTTTAGCTCAATGAGGAGGAACATTTATAGCCTGAAATATTTCATTATATTATGATTGGTCACTATTATAGTATATTGTTTTTCTTATGGATGCCATGTTGTCTTCTAGCAATTTTGATGACCTACTAGTGGTTCTTTTTTGCATTTAATGGAGCGAAATAGATAGTGAAAATTCATATAATCGATTATAGTAACTCACTTGGAATCAGTGGAAGAGGCCGGAGTTATATGCACCGAAGAATTTTTTATCGGTAATTTATATAGCGAAAATAGAATAAAAATAGTTTTTTTTCTACATAAATAGATTTTATATCCCCCTAAAGACAAGATAAGTACATGTTGATATTTCTATTTTCCCCTTGTTGATACTCCCTTATAAAAATGACATGGCAGGTTTAAAATCACAAGATTCATAATATTTTTTAATATGTTATATACATCTTTTTTAGGACTATATGATTCAAAAAACTTCCTTTACATTTATAAATTTCGCATCAAATCAAACTAAAATAAAAATAGGACGTATATAATGATGCTAAGTTCTATATGTAAAAATAAATATATTAGTACTACTTTAGTTATCCAAAATTCATTGTAATTATTCTTTTTGGTAATTACTGTAAAATTATTTTTCTTATACAGGAAAGCAAAGGAGTCCTAAAAGATGGTATATGTTGTTGCTTTTTTATTATTGCTACTATATAATAAAAGCTATTGGGAAAGTCAAAGTCTAAGGTTCGTTATAAATAAAAAGAAATTAAAAGAAAAGGACAGAAAATAGTCAATTAGTCAATATACTTTTAATTGCAATATTCTTGTCTTTTTTATTGTTTTATAATTTTATGAAACTCATGTCAAAAGCGTAGAATAAAAGGTGCGTTCCTTAAGAGGACAACGTTGGAGAATTAGAACCACATGAGCAGTGACCTAAATATAATGAGATCATATATTCTTTCCCTTTCAATTTATCTCTTATTTTGTCTTAATTATATTTGATTTAAAACAAATGTCCGCTTTAAGTTTTAATTTTAATATTCTCATTTTTCCCTTAATAAGTCACTTACAAAAATAATAAACCTACATAATATACGGTGCAAATAGAGCAAAAATAATTATTTTTGTTATATATAAGCTGTTAAATCTACTTGACATAAGAGAAAATTCTAGTAAGGTAGTAAAGGAGGTTCAAAAATTGCTACTTTTGAAAGCTCTTATATAAATTTTTGGTTTCAGTCAGGGGCGGAGCTAGCATAGCACTTGCGGGTTCGGCCGAACTCAATAACTTTGGTCCAAAATCAGTATTTGTCTTTAAAAAAATCATTGAATATGTATACATTGTTAATTTAGAACCCAGTAACATAAATGAACTAGAATCCCGAGCCCACAAGCTTCAAATCTGGCTCCACCTAAGGTCTCAGTGCCATTAATAACATGACATGTTTAAGACCATAATATTCAAATAATATTTTTAATTGTTATGCACACATATTTAATTTAAACCTACAAAAATTTAAAGTCTTTTTTATATTCTTAAATTTTGTGTCAATTTAATGCAAGACAATAAAATGAAACGAAAGAAGCAATAAAAAGTTGGCTAAATAAGAAAAAAAAGGAAAAATTATGTGGATGACAAAATAAAGAAAAAACCGAAAAGAAAAATATGTGGATGAAAATTACCGTAGATATGAGTGTGAAAATTATACATTGGGTTTATGTCCTATATATTTGGACAACAATATTTTGTTTCCTCTGCAAGAGATTATTAGGTTAATGTCCTATTCGAACCGTATAGCCCGACTAAATACGGATTCGCACAGAAAAGCCTTATATCGAGGATAAAGTGCTGTCTATAACAAATGTAACTTTATTCACAAGGTTCGTACTCGAGATCTTTCTACCGTATTCCACGTTGGTAGGTTTTCTAAACTTGGTCGAACACGTTTAATTAATCCGTTGCCATACATGACTTGCCAACTTTGAAAAGTAGTAATTGTAAGCTAAAAATGAGGATAATAATAAGCCCATCACTTTCATCTAATCAATTTTGCATTAATTGCTTTAGGTGGGATACTACAAAAGAAAATGCACAACTACTAAAGTCTTAGATTTTGCACTTAGCTCAATTGAAACTACCACCATCACCTACTTACCAAAAAAGAAAGAAAAAAACCCAACTACCTATATCTCTTCGATTCTCACCAACCTCTTCTCTTTTATTTTTCCTTATTAATATATATCATAATCATAATATATTTCTCGTATTGTCGATTGTTCATCTCGTATTATATATGCTCAAATATTAGGTTGATAACTCAAAGATACAAATATAGTATTCAATATATAACATCTCGCCCTGATCTTTGAAAAAGTTAAGACTTGTGGGAAAAAAATTAAATAAAAGATATAGATTCAATTAATGTATTGTGATGTTTTGTTGAGAGTCTTGATGCATGCAAATATTTGGTTATTAAACTCATGCAAATTAGAGGTTCTTGTGTTGTTTGTAATACTTCTCTAGATTATGATATGGTTTACGTCTTATTTTTCTTTTACTCTTTGTACAATGTTACAAATACTTGCTGTTTTATGGAATAACGCCATTTGCATTCATCTGGGCGATCAGATTCGAATTGCCTAAAATTTTGCTGGCCCCATAAAAACAGACCTAAGGAACAATAGTCATCGCTTTGCCATGACCGTTCCTCCATTTTTGTGGTTTTAATGCCATAAAACTAAAATTCTGCCCGATTCCCGAATTTTCGTGTGCTATGGCCCACGCCATCTGCATGCATCCGGGCGACCACACCTGAATCGCCTATAATTTTTTCGGTCCATAAAAAATGACCTAAGGAACAATAGTCACTGTTTTGCCATGACCGTTGCTCGTTTTTTTGCGTTTCAAGGCTTTAAAACTCGAATTACGCCTGATTCCCAGATTTTCGTGTGCTATGGCCCACGCCATCTACATGCATCCGGGCGACCAGACCTTGATCGCCTACAATTTTGCTGGCCCATCAAAAACGAACTAAGAAACAATAATCATCGCTTCGCCATGACCGTTGCTCTTTTATTGCGTTGTAGGGCTTTAAAACTGGAATTATGCCCGATTTCCAGATTTTCGTGTGATATAGCCCACGCCATTTGCATGCATCCAGGCAATTGGACTCGAATTGCCCAAAATTTTGTCATCCCATTTAAAACGACCTAAGGAATAATAGTTACCGCTTTGCTATGACTGTTTCTTTTTTTTTTTGGCGTTTTAGGGCCATAAAACTGGGATTCCGACCGATTCCTAGATTTTCGTGTGCTATAGTCCACGCCATCTGCTTGTATCCAAGCGACCGGACCTGAATCGCCTAAAATTTGGCCGGTCCATCAAAAATATGGAAAAATAGTCAAAGCTTATAAATGACCGTTCCTAGTTTATTGGCGTTTTAATGCCATAAAACTAGAATTCCACCTGATTCCCAGATTTTCGTGTGCTATGGTCCACTCCATCTGCATGCATCCGGGCGACCGGACCTGAATCGCTTATAATTTTGTCGTCCTATCAAAAATGACATAAGGAACAATAATCACTGCTTCGCCATGACCGTTCCTCATTTATTAGCGTCTTAATGCCAAAAAACCAAAATTTTACCTGATTCCTAGATTTTCGTGTGCTATGGCCCACGCCATCTACAAGCATCTGGGCGACCGGACCCGAATCGCCTATAATTTTGCCAATCCATAAAAAATAATTTAAGGAACAATAGTCACCACTTCGCCATGACCGTTCCTAATTTTTCGGCGTATTAGAGCCATAAAATTGAAATTTCGCCCGATTCCTAGATTTTCGTGATCTATAGCCCACGCCATATGCATGCATCCGCATGACCAGACTCGAATCGCCTAATATTTTGTCGATCCATAAAAAATGACCTAAGGAACAATAGTCACTGTTTCGCCATGACCGTTACTCGTTTTTTTGCGTTCAGGGCTTTAAAACTCGAATTCGCCCGATTCCCAGATTTTCGTGTGCTATGGCCCACACCATCTACATGCATCCGGGCGACCGTACCTTGATCGCCTACAATTTTGCTGGCCCATCAAAAACGACCTAAGAAACAATAGTCACCGCTTCGCCATGACCGCTGCTCTTTTTTTTGCGTTTTAGGGCTTTAAAACTGGAATTACGCCCGATTTCCAAATTTTCGTGTGCTATAGCCCACGCCATTTGCATGCATCCAGGCAATTGGACTCGAATTGCCTAAAATTTTGCTGGCCCATCTAAAACGACCTAAGGAACAATAGTCATTGCTTTGCTATGACTATTCCTCGTTTTTTTTTTTTGCATTTTAGGGCCATAAAATTGGAATTCCGACAGATTCCAAGATTTTTGTGTGCTATAGTCCACGTCATCTGCATGCATCCCAGCGACCAGACCTCGGTCCATCTAAAAATTACATAGGGAAAAATAGTCAAAGCTTAGACATGACCATTCCTCATTTATTGGCGTTTTAATGCCATAAAATGAATTCTGCTCGGTTCCTAGATTTTTGTGTTCCATGGTCCACTCCATCTGCATGCATCCGGGCGACCAGACCTGAATCGCCTATAATTTTGTCGTCCTATCAAAAATCATATAAGGAACTATAGTCACCGCTTCGCCATGACTGTTCCTCATTTATTAGCGTCTTAATGCCAAAAACCCAAAATTTTACTCGATTCCTTGATTTTCGTGTATTACGGCCCACACCATCTGCAAGATCCGGGCGACTGGACCCGAATCGCCTATAATTTTTCGGCCCATAAAAAATTATCTAAGGAACAATAGTCACCACTTTGTCATGATCGTTCCTCATTTTTCGACGTATTAGGGCCATAAAATTGAAATTCTGCCCGATTCCTAGATTTTCGTGTAGCCCACGCCATATGCATGCATCCGCATGCCCAGACTCGAATCGCCTAATATTTCGCTGGCCCATAAAAAATGACCTTAGGAACAATAGTCACCGCTTCGCCACGGCCGTTTCTCATTTTTTGGTTTTATGGCTTTAAAACTGAAATTCTGGTCGA